ACAATTAATCAGTGGAACAGCTTGCCTCCAGAAGTTGTGAATGCCCCAACACTGGAAGTCTTTAAGAAGATGTTGGATAGCCATTTGTCTGGAGCAGTATAGGGTTTCCTGCCTAGGCAGAGGGTTGGACTAGAAGACCTCCAAGGTCCCTTCCAACTCTGCTATTGTATTGTATTGTATTATATATACATATAGATGTGTGTTTGTGTGTGTGTATTTATTTCAATTTCTGCAGCCACCCATTTCAATCCAACTCTGGGTGGTTTTTGAGTGTGTGTGTGAAGACAGAAGTATGCTAACAAATTGTTCAAGTTTGTATTATTAAATTAATTTGTGTGAAGAAGATGAATTGTCCTGCTAGGCACACATAACTATCCATTACATTCATATGTATTATTTTTGTCCTTTGATTTCAACAGTTAGATCAGGCTGGATACCACCACCACCTGCTCTACCTCCCAGGCCCTTTGTATCACAGGTGTGTTAATAATTTCTGCATGATGTTATGCTTAATATCTATCTTAAAAGGGAGAGATAAGAGGTTTTTTTTCCCAGCCATCTATCAAAGCACACAAGACAAAAATAGCATCATTAATTATAATTTTAGGAACTATTCAGTAGTTAACTTCAACAAGACATCCTATAGTTTAAAAATAATGGTATTCAAAGGGAAAAGGGGATTGAGAAAATGTCTCAAAGTAATCTATTATAAATTCTGTAATTTTTCCAAATAATCAGTAATCAATAATCCAAATATTTTTCAGTGTCTCAGTCACTAAACAAAGTTAAAGGCTATCTGTATGTAGAGACTCTTTAATGTTATAACTTACACATTTTAACAACATGTTTCTCGATGGAACTTAAGGAATTGAAAATATCGGTCAACCAGCAAAGCCTATCCTAAACTTTCTGAATCTTTTCTTCATATAATAATAGTTGGTTAATACTGCTCTTGTTATGCAAAATGCAGTTTGAAAAAAGATTGAAACTTGAAACTTATTTTGGAAGTCTAAATGATAGTTTCTAATAAAACTTAATTGCTTGTCTTTGAGACAATACTTTTAAGATTACTGATGAATTCTGACTGCCCAGTATTATATTAACTATTATGCTGATGAATTCTAGAAATAGAGGCATTATTTTTTATTTCTATCACACTTTTGGGTGTCATGGATAAATCAGATCTAATTAATATTTATAATATTTATAATGTTTACAAAATTTCTATATGTCTTCTATAAGTAAGCGTGTCCATAAATATTAGATATTTCGTAGACATTGTGATTAGGTAGTGAGAAGTAAATATTATACAACATACAGCATTTTATAATCATACTTCACAATACTTGTTTAATCAATTAAACATACAGTGAGAAGGGTTACTGTCCCAAATGTTTCCTTTCTAATTTTATTGGAATAATAATGGGTAATTTTTTTTCTTTTCTATTTTCATTAAAGAATACAGTCTTATAAATATTTACTCAGCAGTAATGGTCTTCAGAACCACGTTCTGTGGTACATATTCTTTTGCAAATAAGTGTAGGACTTTTGTCTATGCTTATGCTCAAACTTCTATATACCGGTATTATCATGTGCTGTTAATACTGATTTATCTTTTATATGGCTTGTAAAAAAAATCAGACTACTATAATCCCTTTAATTTACATATAATAATATAAAAATATCATAGAAGGGCACCAGGTGAGAAACCAAGAGACAGTTAAGTTTTAGTCCTGTCTTAATCACAAAGCCAGCTAACTCACCTTTGGCCATCACTTTCATTGCAAATTATTTCCAGCCAGGAAAACTGCAGGGACTTGTGCAGGCACTTGTCAGGAGTAAAAACTTGACTCAAAGATACCAAACCAAAAAAACCAACAAAGGTAGTAGAATCTATGAGGATGCATGAATTTCACCTGATTATGATGCCTTTTATGACACGTAACACATTTTCAGACTACTACTATTTCAGCCTATCAAAACAAGTTCAGTCACTATTTATAAAGCTTAGTCATTGTAGTCTAAATGTAAACCTGAAAGAAAAAGTTAGATTGTAAATGGAAAATAACAAAGAGCAAAAAAACTCAGATCAGTGTTAGGCTTAATAAATTCTGAAGAATTGAAGGACTCACATATTACCCATTGAAAGCCCCTCTCAGGAATGTTTTGTTATTGGAAATAATATTTTAAATGTATAGGTTTACTTTATGCAGAAGGCTAGAATCTGCTTTATTTTTGAAGTAATATGATCAAGGGCTACTCACCAATATCTGAATCACTCTGATTTCTTTTGTTTTAAGAATGATTACACCACTACTGTAGATTTTTTATAACTAGATAAGCAAAATACCTCCTTGGCAGCCCTTCAGCCCACATCAAGCTCTTCAGCCCACATCATAGAGCCGAGGTGGCGCAGTGGTTAAATGCAGCACTGCAGGCTACTTCAGCTGACAGCAGTTCTGCAGTTCGGCTGTTCAAATCTCACCGGCT